AAGGACTCAGCTGCTCGGATTGATTTGGGCAGGTCATTCCACCATTAGATAATAACATAATTAGATCCAAATTAGATCCAAAGATATTCCTCTTAGACCTATAACACAATAAAACCATACAGGCGCAAGTGAGGCACAGCAAAAAAAAAAAAAAAAAGAAACACCTGTACCTTTTACGTAGTGTTTTCGTTCGTAACTTCACGAAACATGCATAGATTGTGGAAAATTAGACTAATAGTAATGCCTTCAGCATGACTGGTGTCTGAAACAAATGTCTAAATACGACAGCCTATGATGTCACTACCAGCGCGACCATAGTACAAAAGGGTGCCGGCAGAATACATCATCTGCTTCTTCGTCTGCAGTAACGAAGCATGCATCCTGAGGCATGGCAAGAGGATGTAGTGTCTTGTTCCCTTCTCAGGGAACCATGGTTACATGTGTAACCTGAGATGTTCCTTTTCAAGGGAACTCGAACTGCGTCCTCTAGCGGTCACTATGGGAAATGGAATACCCACGCTGCCATGCTGAGGGAAGTGCATGCCATATTTTCTGAGGTGCACTAAGCACCAACTCCAGAGTGAAACCATCAGAGTCACCCCTCGGACACATCAGCGGCTGTCAGTGACACTATCCGCTTCGGCCAAAGGCCCAAGCTACATACCCAAAATAACTTACCTGTTAAAGGCTGACAAAGAAAGCCCAGTCCCAGGGCAGAGCTCAAAGGCTTGGAATCAGATAACAATGTGATTACTTTAAGGGGATATGGACAGGCATCTAGGTTTCACCATATTACCAGACCCTGGCCTGTCACCTAGGTTGACTTTATACATCTACTCCTAATTCTTCCAGGGGGGCTACAGGATAGCCAACAACCTTTCTGCCTGAGGCAGAGGCTCTGACTTGAGATATGACAAAAAGGCAGTGGAAAGGTAATTGAAAGGAACTGGCAATAGACACCTTCACTGTACCTGAGATGGGGACTTCCCGTAGGATCTCTCTCTCCAGATCCCTCGAGCTGGTAGACATATACCCCCGCAGCCCAGTCAGATGGGAGACATTGTTAAGATATCACTGAAGATACATATGTAGAGTGGGACCCAAGGTGAGAATCAGAAAAAACTTTTTATCTTTTTGAGCATTTTCAACTCTGGATGATGGATAGTAATGCCCAAAGGGTCTTATTTCCAAATACACCAAAATTGTGTGTTTAGCACACTGAAGTCAGGAACTGTTAAATTTTTAAGTTAGGTAGGTCATTTTCAGCTGTGAGTCCCAAAATGGGGGGTGCAGGTTAACAGGTTAAAGTGAGAGGAGAACTCACGTGCTCAGAAGGGCACATGATGGGGCTCCAGAAGTGGCATACTCATAGGAGACCCTCTAATTAAGGGGAGTACTGCCAACTCAACCATAAGGGCAGTCACATGATGTGAGCTCCCAGGAACAGCATGCTCAAAGTGACCCTGTAATAAGGGGAGCAATGCCATGCTCAAACACTGAGGCGGTCATCAGGGAGGCCACACAGGAGGCCTTAATCCACCTGGTATAGATGCCTTGTGGAGCTCCAGGGAGCGGAGGACCCAACCCTCAGAAAAGAGAGGGGAACTCAGACACTCATCCTGGGGGCGGTGTGCTCATAGGCGACTCACTAGAGTGAGGGGAGCAATTCTAAGCTCAACCATAAGAACAGCCTAAAAGGGAGGCAAAAGATGTCCTAACAACCTGGTATGGCTGCCTCACGGAGCTCCAGGGAGCGGAGGATCCAACTCTCAGAAATGAGAGGGGGGGCTCAGACACTCACCCTGGGAGCAGCGTGCTCATTGGCGACCCTCTAGAGTGAGGGGAGTACTGCCAAGCTCAACCACAAGAGCAGCCTAATGGGGTGGCAAAAGACGGCCTAACAACCTGGTATGCTGCCTACAGGGCACCAGAAGTGGACTCCTTGGCTCTTAGATCGAGAAGAGAACTCACATGCTTGCTCGGGGAGCAGCAGGCTCATAGATAACCCTCCCGCAGTGGGGGGAGCCAAGCTCAACCATAGGCAGTGGCTGTATACAGAGCC